TGCCAACATTCCATACAGTAGCTGTGACCTAGAGTGAATCTACAGCTGACCTACAAAGAACTATGTACTATGATAAAAAAAAATACATTTGGTTTTTCAAACCTACAGTGTTTGGATTTATTTATTATTGAAACACAACTTAGCTCATTCTGACCAACAAAGTGATTGATTATAAAGACTTCTGATAGATTCTGTTATTGAGCAAGTATCCTTTCTGATGGTTTTCACATCTTCAGACTCCAGCAGAATGCTAAGGCACATATAGGCAGCAAGGAGACTTTTGGAGAGAGAGAGAGAAGTTAATGGTACATATCTCTCTAACTTGAAAATTTTTATCCTACAGGTAAAGTCATGCTATTTTCAATAGATAAAAAAAAAGAGATGCAAAGCACTTGTTTTCACTAAATGTTCCTTTATTATAATATAATAATATGTTCCTTTATTGCTTGTCATTAATCCATGTTTTATTTGATACCCCCAAATGTATGACTTCCATTTCAATTGCTTCAACATTTATTTTAGTTCGAGTTGCTGGAATTTTTTGTTACGTTTTACTCAGAGACTTCATTATCCCTTTATCTGTTACTGATTCTAGTCTGTCATGTCTCTTATTCTAGTAGTCTCAAAAACAGGACTTAGTTAATTTAATCTGAGTTTATGTATAATACAGCACTGCCCAGGAGTGACAAAGGACTGAAAGATAATGAGTCACCAAAGCAAAAGCTGATGGTGATGCTGCTGTGAGGGTTATGAATAGACAGGCGTTAACTGAGAGGGGATGTCAGCTTGAGCTGAGCAGTGCTTTTAGGGTTATGAAGATTTGGGACGAATGAAGTGTTACCTTTATTATAGATGAGATCTCTAAACATCTCAGCTCCCTTATCTGTGACTGTGGATAGTGAAACAGCAATCTCACAGAACCAGAGAACTGAATAGTGGTTAGCAGAGGCTGGGCTAGGGGGAGATTGGTCAACAGGCATGGAGTTCCAATTAGGCGGGAGAAATATGCTCTGTTACACAGTAGGGTGACTCTAGTTAACAAAATTGCACTGCATATTTCAAAATATCAAAGAGAAGGTTTTGAATGTATCTCCTTATTCAGATTTGATCACTATACAATACACACGTATTGAGGCATCATAGTGTGCCCCCATGAATATGTACTATTATGTGTCAAAGGAAAGGCAAAAAGAAAAGAAGGAAGAAATGTCCCAGAGCTTATGAGAAATACGAATGAGATCGTTTATGTAGAAGTTCTTTGGAAATGTGAAGTAATTGCCTAAATATGTCTTTAACCTAATGAGAACAGCAGGAGGGTTGTAGCGCTGACGAGAGGGATGTGATCACGCAGTGCAGAGTGTCTGCATTCTCTAGGCTGAGGACCAACCACTGGGACTGGCAGGGCCATTTGGTCTCCAGGTGATCAGATTTTGTGTCTTACACTGGGACCAAAGAGCCGCCCCCTCCCAGTCTCATCCCTGGATTATGTGAAATGAATTAAGACAAACTTTTCATTTTGTAGTTCAGATTTTTTTTCCCTTTTTCGTCACCAGGTGGGTGGCTATTACTATTTTTAAAATGCTGGAATTTTGGCTTTCCCATTACTTATCTGATGCCTGTCACACACTCCCTCGTCATCTGATATACTGCTTCCGTTCTTGTTTCTGCTGCTTCCTGTGTGCAAGTTTTTGGACACTCTGTAATGTCTCAAATGATCTTCATATTGATAACATACTGCTAAAGGGGACCCCTGTGAGGCTCTTTGGAAGGACCAGAGGATTTGCATAGAAGACAGGCAGATGTGGATCAAATGGTAGCTTTGTTTCTGCTCAAGTGGTTAGAGAACATGTCTCAGATCTTCTGCCAAGTTCTGCAAATTAGGTGACTTCATTGACACAGACAGGTGGGGTGAGCAGCCAGTAGCCATTCTGTCAGGGGCAGAGCTGGCTCTTTGGCCCAAGCAGCTGGACCTGTAGCTGGTGGGCAGATGTGCGAAGAAAGAATGTCTCTGGGGCAGAGAGGCAAGTGCACTCCATTTCTCACTGGAGATTGATCCACCAGATTGTTCAAGGACATGTACAGTTTAATGACTGAAAGCCAAGGATCCCAGCTTGCTTTTGACCAGAAAAGCTAAACGCTAACTACTGCTTCTCACTCTCCCGTGAACTAAGTTTTGACCTCTTGGCCTCACCTGCTGCCACCTGTCCTAACTACCATCACTCCAGGAAACCCTCAACCTTGACAGTATGTTACAGTCACCTGGGGAGCTGTTAAACCCACCCAACACTGCAGCCTCCGCCCCACAGAGCCAGATCCAATAGTCCCGGGATGGAGCCTGGTGTCATCAGTTGTTTTAAAGACTCCCCAGGTGATCCTAAGCTGCAACCAGGTTCATGGACCACTGATCTAATAGCTTTGGTCTTGTCAGCCCCCTTCCCTTCATCTGCCAGATGTGAAATGCAGATAATGCCATCTGTGAGACTCTGGGGACAGAGACGGCCTCTGATAATGATGTCAGCAATGACAAGCAACTTCTGCTCAGATTAAAGCCTCAGAGGTAGTATCAGAGGTTCTGCTTTTCTTCTCAACTTGTCTTTCTCTACATAAAAGATCTTTATTTTTAAAGACCCATTTTGCTTCATGGTGCTCTGCTATTCATTTTCTTGAAAGAGAATAAGAGGAGGAGAAATTTCTTTCTTTTTACAGACATGCTCTTGATCTGACTTTCCCCCCAGCCCATCGGCAGTCAGTCATTATGAAAATCTGGTAAAAGAGATTTCCATGACATAAGCTCCATGCATTCACCTTCCTTAGTATCACCCACAGGCTCACAGCCAGGTACTGAGCCAAGCCCCTGATGGCTATGTGGTCAGACAGAATGAAATCCACGACCTTGCACTTAAAAGGAGGAGACCCGATGATATGACAGAACAATTTAAAAACGATTTTTCCAGCACCTCACCTGACTCTTTCTCAGCTGAAGTGAATCCACCTGGCTCAAGCCTACTCGCAGGCAGCCCACCGGTGAGTCTTAGTCACCCATGGTGGCTTACGGAGGACAGCTGCTTTGGCACATGTGTGTCTCTGATAACAGAACCCAGGTAGCTGCTCTGAATCCACAGGGGTATGATCACGCTGGGACAATAACTTCTGAGAATGACTTTGCCACCATGATGACATGCTGAGATGGAGCAGAACACCACCCCTGAATAAATTAGTCTACCGGGTAGTACGTTTGCTTAGTCAGTTCCATCATACCTGCAATGAAAGTGTGTCCCACCCACTGCGCCTAGCCTGGGTTCTTAGCTGCACATGTATGGGAAGCAAAGTTTTCGATTGTTTGGTGCCCCTCCTCTGAGTATGGGGTCACATGACTGAAGGCTGGTGGTTTAAAAGATCTGGCCCCAGTAAGGAGTTTCTGAATGGGTAGAAATTAATTCAAAATCAAGCGTGCCATGGATCTGAGGTGTTTCAGGCGGAACTCCATGTTGCACGGCATGACTTTGATTTCAGTTCTGGTTCTGATGACACACTGGGCACACTTTGCTGTCACACTGCACACTTTGCTGTCACACTGCACAGTGACAGTGTGCACCGCTTGGAACACCTGGGCTCAGTCCAGACTATCATACATTACAAATGGCCATGTTTTCACGGTCCATACAAGGTTTGTCTGCTCTAGTAAACACATAAGGGTTTACTCATGGAAAACAAAGGCTTTTTAGTATTCTCCGACCATCATCTCTCAGCCTGTAAGTATCAAATTAGTTTGTCTCTGGAGTGTATTGTAAAATTAGAATGTTTGATTTTAAAAATTGATGTTGGAGCTGCTGACCTGAGTTTCAAAGATGTTTGTTAACTGCATTTTGACTTGGATTGGGATTGAGTTGCCATCGTTTCCTGGGATGGCCAGAAGCATCCTTCTTCCATTTTGTACTCCTTATGTCTGCAGAGAAGAAAGCTCAGCACTGACAATCATAAAATCAAAATATCCACCGACTTTGGAAAAGGTTGGAGATGCTCTGTGTCCTGATGTATTAAATTCAGCCAAGACTTACTTCTCTATGTAAAAAGAAATGACCACACCCATCTTACTATTATGCAAATTTGCTTTAATCATTAATAAATGACAAAATTATGTATGTACCAAAAAATTGTTTTAAACTAAACTTCTTTATGATTCATCATCTGCAAAAATGCTGGAATTGTGTAATTATATTATCTACTGATGTGCCCAGGGCCCAGGGTCACACAAAAATTTCTTCAGCTAAAAGGAAGTACGCATAAAATTTCCAAGAAGCCCTAGTAAAGTATATATGAGTTTTTTTCTAAAATATGATTATAGCTTTACAAAATACAGAATTTCTAAGGTAAAATGAATTTTTGTTTATTTCACTTAAAACAATGAGACTTTAAGCCAGTTGATGGGTGTTGGGAAGCTCTGCTCTGGCATCACTCCTTCCATTCTGGGCCCTGCCCCTCAGAAAGCCTGCCAAGGGTCAGCTCCTTCCCTAGAGCTGCTCAAAGACCATGCCTACAGGTATTTAAGACCTGGCCTATAGACTTTTCACATGGTTTTCCCTTGTGGTTTCTCCTCTTCCCCTGGGACACCTCCCACCTCCTGGGAATGTTTTGCTCAGATTAAACCTGGATTTATTAATTTGTCCTCATCTGACTGTGCATTGGCGGAGTCACTCATTACCAGGGGATTTTTACTTATCAATGAGTGCACGCCTTTAATCCCAGCGCTTGTGAGGCAGAGGCAGGCAGATTTCAGTGAGTTCAAGACCAACTACAGTGAGTTCCAGCACAGCCAGGGCTACATAGTGAGACCCTATGTCAGAAGAACATAAGATCTTTTTTTTTTCATTTTATATACCATCCACAGATCCCCCTTTCTTCTCTCCTCCCCTTCCCCCTAGCCTTCTCCCCCACCCCAACCCACCCCTCATTCTCTCCTCTGACAAGGTAAGGCCTCCCGGGGGGGGGGAGGGGTCAGCAGAGCCTGGTACATTCAGTTGAGGCAGGCCCAAGCTCCTCCCCCTGCATCAAGGCTGTGCAAGGTGTCCCACCATAGGTAGAGGGCTCCAAAAAGCCACCTCATGCTCCAGGAAAGGATCCTGATCCTACTGCCAGGGGACCCCTTAAGCAGATCAAGCTACACAACTGTATTGCTTATGCAGAGGGCCCAGTCCAGTCCCATGGAGGCTCCACAGATGTTGGTCTAAAGTTCATGAGTTCCCACTAGCTTGGTTTGGTTGTCTCTGTAGGTTTCCCCATCAAGATCTTGATGCCCCTTGCTCATAGAATCCCTCTTCCCTCTCTTCGACTGGACTCCTGGAGCTCGGCCTGGTGCTTGGTTGTGGATCTCTGCATCTATTTCCATCAGTTACTGGATAAAGGCTCTATGATAACAGTTAGGGTATTCACCGATCTGATTACTGGGGTAGGCCAGTTCAGGCACCCTCTCCACTATTGCTAGTTGTATAAGCTGGGGTCGTCCTTGTGGATTCCTAGGAACTTCCCTAGCACCAGGTTTCTCCCTATCCCCATAATATCTCCCTCTATCATGGTATCTCTTTCATTGCTCTCCCACTCCATCCCTATTCCAGCTCAACTACTCTGTTCCCTTATGTTTTCATCCCCCATCCCCTACCCTCTGTTGCTTCCTCATCCTCGGTTTATTCATAGAGATCTCATCTATTTCCCCTTCCCAGGGTAATCCATCCTGGGCTATCTATGTATCCCTCTTAGGGTCCTCCTTGTTAGCTAGCTTTTCTGGAGCTGTGGGTTGTAGTCTGGTTATCCTTTGCTTTACATCTAGTATCCATTTATGAGTGAGTATATACCATGTTTGTCTTTCTGAGGCTGGGTTACCTCACTCAGGATGGTATTTTTTAGTTCCATCCATTTGCCTGCAAATTTCATGATGTCATTGTTTTTTACTGCTGAGTAGTACTCCATTGTGTATATGTGCCACATTTTCTTTATCCATTCTTTAGTTGAGGTGCATCTAAGTTGTTTCCAGGTTCTGGCTATTATGAATATGCTGCTATGAACATAGATGAGCAAGTGTCCTTGTGGTAAGATTGAGCATCCCTTGGGTATATGCCCAAGAGTGGTATCATTGGGTCTTGAGGTAGATTGAGTCCCAGTTTTCTGAGAAACCACCATACTGATTTCCAGAGTGGATATGGAGCAAGGGGAACACTCTTCTACTTTTGGTGGGAGTGCAAACGAACATGAGACTGAACACGAGACTTTAACTGATGCTCTGTCATGTTGCCCCTAGTTTTTAACATGAGTTGGGTGCTGATAACTGACTCCGTTGTGAAACTGTCGACTCAGGGAAGTCTCCCATTTTGCCAATTGCTGTAGGGCAGTCATTGCTTTAGTCACAGCGATGAGTTAGTAGCCAGACCATAAAGACTTCAGTTAGCTAAACCGTGTCCTCAGATGCCTTTGTCTTAAACCTACACTCTGGACATGAAAGTGTAATTCATAGGTCAAAGCCTCAGCTGAAGCATGTGACCTGCTCAATCTCCATTATCAAGCAAGATTAACTATTTTATGCACTAAAGGTCAAAAACCAGTGTTTGGATATTTAGAGATTAAATTAAAGCAAGGAATGAATTTAAGAATAAGTTCTTGTGAGGTTTCAACATCACCTTTAAAAAGATGCTGAGAGATGTGGATGTCAGCACAGTTCGAACCCCCAGCAGCACAGAAAAAAAGGAACCAAGGCCAAAAGAACCAAAACCAAAACCAAAAAACCAAAAGGCAGCTCCCTGTATCTCTTTAATGTTGCTCTTACCAAAAAATGATGAGAGTCTTACTCATCTACACATGAACTGGAATCCAGGTCTTCTACATCCTGGCTCCTTAGATGATTTGGGGAACTTTCTGTGATATCTCAGCACTCCACATTTGACCAAGAGAACTTAACATGGTAATAGCAGTTAGCTAGACAGACATTAGACTTTGAGGACAGACATCCTCCCTCCCAGTAAACTTTGAACACCACCTCCTGTTTCTCTGAGGACCAAGAAAGAGAAGCCCTGCTTAGTATTTAAAACACCTTATGAGAAAGGGAAAGTGTCTGGACTTTGATGAGGCCCACTCAGTGAAAGCTATTTCTTCCTGGCCAAACGTAGTGACTCTGGCTCTCAGTAGAGCCATGGCATTCTGCCCTTCTCCAAAGGTAAGTCCATTACATACTGTTAGCTCCTCCTGTAAGGAAGCGGAGCTTCCTGGTCCTGGTCAGGAGTCTGACTTCCCCAGGAAATCTGATTCTCCTGAAGATATTCTAAGGAGAAGAGAGGACTAATTAGCTCCTTAATGAGATACTGTATTTCTCCCTCCAGAAGATGTGAGCAGTGTTTCCCTTTCTCTTTTCTATCTCTTTTTCTTTCAGATAGCAGCCAGACACATGTGCATGCTTCCGCTGGCACGCTGGCCTTTCTCGGTCTCCTATGAAGCTCCCCTCACACTTTCCCCTGCCCGGGGCTTGCTGATCTCCGATGCTGAACCCGCCTGCTCTCTTGAAGTCATGACCTTTTCTTTTCTCCTCTATCCCTTTCCTCCTGGTAAGTGCCAAGATGGACACCTTGCCTGCCCTGTTGTTTTCCCTAAAATTCTCATAAAACCAACCTTAAATGTTAAATCTGGGTTTATAATGAAGAAAAGAAAAAAAATACCTGTTTCCTTTCACCGCCTTTAGTACATTATTTACTCAATAAGAATTAACTGTACTGAATCCCATATTACGCTGTTCTGGTTATATCAATCACTCTTTAAGACACATATCCAGCCCAGTGGTGGTAGTAGTACACACCTATAATCCCAGCACAGGGGAGGCAGAGGCAGGTGGATCTCTGTGAGTTCAAGGCCAGCCTGGGCTAGAGAGTGAGTTCCAGAACAGCCAGGACTACACAGAGAAAACCTGTGTGGAAAAAAAGAAAAAGAAAGAAAAGAAAAGAAAAATATCCACTACACTAAATAGACACTACAGTAATTTTTAGACACAGTAGCCATTGGTAATATACTTAAATATTTTACTGCAGTGTTCTGTCAATAATATAGAAACATTAGACAATGCCCACCGTGCTCCCACAAAAAAGAAGCATCTGTCCTTGAGCCTTCTTCTGAGTCAATCGATACACTCTTTCTTCATAGGAAAACTAGGAAACCAACAGGGAACCCCAGGTCTTCCCAGTAACAACAGTACCTATCATGTAAGTATTGAATATAATACCTAGAAAATACTTGACACCTCTGAGTACTCAATGGATGGGCACTGAACTCACTTTTTTTTTTTTTCCTTCTGAGATGTCTGAAAGATCTTGGAGAAGATAAAGTCACTTTCAGAAGTTAACAAGAAAAGCAGAGAAATGGGAGATCATGAAGTCACCCTCATTGTGTTATTTTATCTCCGGTGGCTTAACTGAGATCTTTACATCCTGATCCAAAGGTTGTGTGCTGCCGGGAAACTGCACCTGGGTCTTCTGCAAGAGCAAACGAATGCTCTGGGATGCACCAGGGTTCTGGTCAGGCATCCATTTAGGATCCTGATGATGTTAACTGACAGGAGCCAGGCACAAAAGACAAGTGCTGCATGATCCCACTCGTATGCAGAATATAAAAAAGTTGGTTCCTCTTGTGGTTTGAATGAGAATTTCAAGCCAGGCATAGTGGCGCACGCCTTTAATCCCAGCACTTAGGAAGCAGAGGCAGGCAGATCTCTGTGAGTTTGAGGCCATCCTGGTCTACACAGTGAATTTCAGGACAACCTGTCTCAAAAACAAACAAACAAACAACAAACAAACAAACAAACAAACAAACATTTTTTTAAAAGATTTCCAGAAGTCAAACACAGTGAATTATTTCTTTATTCCTAGCACTCAGGAAGCAGAGGCAGGTGGGTCTCTATGAGTTTGGGGCCAGCCTGGTCTACACAGTGATTCCAGGATTGCCAGGGCTACATAGTAAAACACTGTCATGCCCCATCTCCACAAGAACAAACAAACAAACAAGAACAACAACTTCCCCTCCCCGCAAAAGCAGTAGCTTGTCATCCATATTCTTTCCTTCTAGATATTCTGGGACAACAATGGCCCCCCAGTCAGTGTGGGGATGGCTTAGACGGAGGGAAGGCGGGTACCTAGCACCTTTATGCACTAGCCCACATGGCTGAAATTCTGATTCTTAAGCAATGCTCATTCTGGTCTTTTGATAAGGAAATGGGAGAAGGGAGCAGTGACGGTCGTGGGAAAATAGATATTTGTCTTTTTTTTTTTTTTTTAGGTTTTTTCGAGACAGGGTTTCTCTGTGCAGCTTTGCGCCTTTCCTGGATCTCGCTCTCTAGACCAGGCTGGCCTCGAACTCACAAAGATCCGCCTGCCTCTGCCTCCCAAGTGCTGGGATTAAAGGCGTGCGCCACCACCGCCCGGCAGATGTTTGTCTTTTAAAAAGTCTTTTCCTGACACTTCCCAGTGCTTACAGAATAACAGTCAGAACTTCTTCTGGGTAAAGAATACCTTTGAACTGTTAAGCAGACTAATTATTTCTTGCCGTTTTCAGTATAAGAAATTAGATTGGAGGGGGGGAATTTTTCATGGAGGACAGACTAGGAATCTGCAGAGAAAAACGAAGAAATGAAGGTGCACCCCTCCGCTTCTCAGCCTTGGGCGGCTTCTCGTCACTGGCTCAGGTGTTTGGGCGCTGACGAGCACGGATGCTCTCAGAGACCCACTGGCCCATTGCTGCTGAGCTCCAAAGCATCCTTTCTACACTAGATCCTTCTTCAACCTGCTGCTTTCAACATAAAAAGTCCAAAGAGTGAAAAAAAGGGAAAGAAAGATCTCCTCGATAGAGAAGTGAGCCTGGGTTCTGACACAGTGCACATTTCAGAATGCTTCATAAAACACGGCCAGAGGAGAGGCTCACAGAACTCACCACTTCTAAAAATGGTGGCTGAAATCTGTCAGTCAGGGAATACATCAAGTGACGGAGACTAGAAAGACTGGACAATTTCAAATCCTCAAGGACCTCATCTAAAGGACCACTGTATTCATCATAGAACATTGGAGTTGAAAGGAAAGTTCAGAAACCACCCAGTTCTGCCTCCATTTTATGATAGAAGAAAAAAAAATGGACACATGGTCAGAGCGCCAAGAGCCTGAGCCTCAGCCAGGGGCAGAAATTCATCTCCAGTCTAGGTTGTTTGATTCCAACAGTCACCCACTAAACAGTTGTGAACCCCTCTTTGTGCTTCGCTCTGCTTGACGCCCCCCAACTGGGGCGGTGCTTTCGTGAGCAATATGTACCCCCGTCTCCTGGGGATGAAGCTCTCTTCAATTTGAAGCTTACTCAAATTCATATAACATAGATGTTAAAAACAGTAGAGGAAGGACGAGGTTTAGCTGTTTGGCTGAGAGAAACTGAAGGTTGTCCCTTCTCACATATCTGTTCCATTAATTACTATTGTTTCAATGGAAAAGAAGGAAGGCTTCTATTTGCTGGACTGTTTCATAGACGAATGAGTCTAGATAAATGCGTCTCCAAACTGAAAGACAGGAGGCCTGTGCATTCTGGGTAAATATGCAATGGTTCCTTACTCCCATCAGGAAGACTTAGACAAGCCTCACAGGCTTCTCTCACAGGCCCATCTCCTCATGCCAGCATCCCTACAGGCCATGTGCACAGGAAGGGAGGGGCCAGGGGCAATGTATGTTTCATTAGCAGGGCATTAAAGCCTTCAGCTCTCCCAGGAAAGCCATCAGAGAGCTGTAGGGAGCCTGCATGGGCCAGCAGAAGACAAGAGACACACTTGTAAGAGATAGAATGCCAACTCTCATTCGTGGTCCCAATGACCCCCAAGTCTCAACTATTTATACTACAGTATGTTCAAGAAGTCACCTTCTTGTTCACAGCAGTACTTTAAGCATCCACCCTGCATTTTGGGTCCTATACCTCATTTGGTACAGGCTCTCAGCTTTTCTAAAATATGAAGTACACTGGCTCTGTCAGGGCTTTTACAAATTTTCAATCACAGCGTCCACATTAAAATGCTTTTCAAAGTATGACTGAAGTTGGAAGCTGGGATGCATGATTGGTTAAATTTTATTTTACATATCAGAAAAAAAAAACCGTGTGTTTTTACCAGCTCATTGAACTGTGTTAGCAATGAACAGATCAGTATATCTAGGAATGATTGATACCATATGATTCCTGAATATCATATTTTGATAATGTTCTGTAGTGTTTTAAACCAACAAAACACACACAGGGAGGGGGGGAGACAGTGAGAGACAGAGCGAGACAGACAGACAGAGAGAGAGAGAGAGAGAGAGAGAGAGAGAGCGCTCAAAACTGGCAGTTTCTGTCTTGATGGCTGTATTTGGCATTTAAACATTATCACTAAAATCTGACAGGTGACGTAAAATGAAGAACTATGTCAACCAGTTGCGTTGCCATCAAAGGCAAATATTTCCTCATTATAATGAATGAAATCATTGTCTGGGCAGGAATGCAAGTGACCTCTAGTAAATGAACCACTGACCCGTAGAGAGATGAGAATCAGCCTGAGTAAATGAGGCAGAAGTTTTCCCAGCATAACTTTGCATGCTAACGGGACAGATTCTTATTGTAGAATGGTCAGTAGGCAATACTAAATAGGAACAAATATCACTGTGTTGCCAAACTCCTCTTCTTCTTCATTCTTCATTCTCATGTTCAAACACACACACACACACACACACACACACACACACACACACACACACACACACAGGCTATAAAAGTGACACAAACATTGCACATAAAAATCATACACGTAGACTTGGCCAGCAGAGCCAAGCAAAAAGTCATTTAAAATATCGACATTGTCAATAGCCAATTTATTCAGAGTAAATCTCTATCTAAATCCATACTGTACAATGAAGTAGCATTAAAATGAGCATTTGAAATGTGGCCAGTCCTAATTGGTTGTGTTGTGTAAACATACACTAGAATTCAAAGACTGCCCAAGAAAAATAGAAAGATATAAAACTTTTCAATGATTTTTATATGGATTATCTGTTTACACAGTAGTATTCTGGATGTCCTAGTTAAAGAAAATTATTAAGTGGCTTTCACCCCCCCCCCCTTTTTTTTGCTTTTATGTTCTAATGTGGCTAGTAGGGCTTACATTGTAACTCTATTGGTCAATGATGATCTAAGCAAAAAGTCAAGACCGTGGCTCAGTGGTATAGCATTTGCTGACCATATGTAAGGCCTAGAGTTTAATCCCCAGTACAAGAAAAAGTCTAGACAAGCAGAATGCAGGTGGAAATCCAATGGAATTGAAACATGAATCTATAGCAACTGAAGGGAGCATGACAACTAGCCTCGGAGTTACTGATACCTTGCTAAGTTATTGTTTCCATACCTCCTCTACAGGAACACCTCTCTAAATCCCAGTGTCGGCTGGCTGGATAACTTTCTAAAGAATGCTGAGAATGGGGGATGCTCTGGGAACGGTTGTATTCAAATTTTTATTGGGGTTGTAGAACAGCAGGACAGAATCACCCCCCCTGTAGCCTCTGGAGGCCACTAGCGTTGCTCAACGGGAACTTCTATTGAGATGCCAGGGTAAAGCCACTCGCTGCTTTATATTAACAGGACTTCCACTTAACTATTAAGAGAACCTGTCAGAAGGCTCTCTTCTTTTAAGCAAGTTGATGAAACACCATTGACTGGGTATGGAAGGCATCTTGAATGAGACCATGTGGCTCATATGCTACACTGTGATGGGGGTGGAAATGTGAACTTCGGAAGTGTAGAGTGTTTCAAAAGCGTGTTGATAGGGAGTTTCAATGGTGAGAAGGATGTGTGTTTAACTGTATTAAAAGTGTGCTTTTTTGAGAATTCCATGAGGATTATTTATTGCATGGTTTTTCTAACATTCCTTCATGTTATACTGAAAAAAAATTTTAATTTTATTTTTTATTTATTTTTTGCTTAGGCAGGAAAAAAATTGCATTATTAGTATCTTTCTCTGGAATTCACCAAAATAAATGAAGTTTTAACATGTGTATTTCCATGTATTATTTTGTGTTTACTGAATATGTATATCCTACAGTATAGAAAAGGCTGTTATCACAGGAAAAACAAAAAAAAAGTAAGCTTTTCATCACTATGCTGGGGAGAAATATACAGAGTAGGAAAAAGACCAATGCAATTTGCAAGGTGGGCTGTGGTATTGCAGAAACAGTGCTCCGCTCTGCCAATCCTCACAGAATGCAAGCAAATGAGAATTTGATTAAAATAACTTCCCAGGTAAGGCCAGCACAAGAGACAGCCACAAAACCATACGCTGAACCACAAGAAGAACACGGGTAGCCGTGGGTTCTGAAAGAAAGCAAGACAAAGCATATGGAGTACCTAGTATGCAGTAAGTGCCAGGAAAACATCGTGTTACTGTTCTGAAACACACACCGCGGCAGAAGTCACATTTACCTCCAGTTCACTGTCATAAACACAAGGCCTCCGGAACAGTCCCTGTCATTCCTGGCTTTTGTCTGAGTGCCTTTATGAGGAGCTTTGTTCAGGCTTTAGCTGCTGGTGACTCACAGGGAAATCATCTCACTCATCGATTCTCCTGTTTTGTTTTTTAATACAGTTGCACATCACACAGTACTGTGCTCTGTTTGCCCGCCCACCCCCATCTCCCAGGAAGCTGCGCCATTCTCACAGCTCACTTATCTTAATGAACTAAAGGCATTCAGAGAAAGTAGCTGTATCCACTTCATCAAATCTCGTTGATGATAATTTCTTGAAAAGCTGAAGACTAACTCTTAGGGATTTTTTTGGAGCCCCATGAAAATTCCTATCACTCTGTAGCCTATGTGAGTTGGAGGCGGGTGACAAATGACTGCTTAGAAGATGTAAGGAATGTTGCAGAAATATAAATGGGTCAGAGCTGAAATTTAATTAGACACTGCATATGTTAATAATAAATTCAATTAATTTCACCTTCTACCTATATTAGAGGAGAAAAGAAACTCAGGCAAAATAATAATTCATCTTAAATGCCCCAACTGGGAGTCCCCCTTCCTGAAGAGTGATTTATGCAGTAATTTACTGACTGTGTCTTCATAAGATTGCTCCAAACCAGCCCTTTGAAATAATAATAACTTCTGGATGTGTGTAGTGAGAGATACAACAAATGCCTTCTTATTAATTTTCATTTAATGAGTCGCCCATTCTCATGGTAATTTGTTTGAAATTTCTCGTCTCAAGATAAACATGTTATAAATACTGTGGATAACACTTCCATTTTGCAAAAATCATGACAGACAATCTCTCCTATTCCCTACCTGAGTCAAAGGTCAATCCGGTGCACGTTCTGTGTACGGTTGGCATGCATTTCTTTGACAGTTATCCCAGTATGTCATTTTAAAATTTTTGTAGCCAAGTAATTCCAAACTGGTTAAATATGAAAACAGAATATTTACCAACAGCAAGGATTCTAGCAGTGTGGGCAGAGTCATGGGCAGAGGGAAAAGCAGATAAACTGGTCCTCTTTTAAAGGACAGAAGGCACAGAGATCATTTCTTACTGTGTTCCCAGTTCCTCAAGCACTCTTTCTATTTAACAAAGATGCCGTGCTGTCTTGCATAATTAGTAATACTTAAGAATTTTAAGGGTTATAATTTCATTTTCAAAAACTTAGAGAGAACCAAAGAGCGAAAGAGAGCAAGAGAGAGAGAGAGAGAGAGAGAGAGAGAGAGAGAGAGAGAGAGAGAGAGAGAGAGAGAGAGAGCTCTCCATGGTGTGAATGGAGGTCAGAGGCGGACTTGGGGAGCTTGGTTTTCTGTTCCCATCATGCGGGTGCCAAGGATCAAACTCAGGTCATCAGTCTAGGCATCATATCCTGAATGCTGAGTCATCCTGCCAGCCCTTTTAAAAGGCTATCCTTTCAAAAAGCTTAACTTCATAACAACTAATTCTATGTGATCTTAATCAAAATAACAAGAATGAAAAATTAATAAGAATAAAAACAAAATAAAAAACAAGGGAGAAGTTGCTAAGAGTCCTAGGTATTTCAAATGGTTCACAGTGGTTTGAATAGTCCTGCAATGGACAGGGCAATATCCTCTACATAGGTCTTTGCTACAGCCGAAAGAGTTTTCAGAACGCATTAAATAATTTAGACGCAATTGTTACTTACATGAGAACCGGAAAGGCCTTGCTCCTAACCCACATTGCCTTATGCCTTCTCCGTGGAAAAGCCCATACTGCATCTCGCCCGTGAACTTGTTCAGCTCCTCCCCTGAGGCATTGACAAGCAGAGCCCCCGTTTTGCAGAGGATGGTGGCTTTAATCCACAGTGGTGTGCCCACTGCTGTGACAACTCCGAGAGCACAGAGGAAGCTCAACACACCAGCCATGCAAAAGATGATCTTCTTCTGCTGGTTTGGCATGATGAGAAACGGCCTTGGTGAGGACGCAGTTCAAAACCAAGGCCTCTGGGAGCATCAAGAAGGGACGGCCCCTTCAGCTGCATTTATTACAGAAGCTGAAGGCACTAGCTGGAAAGGCAATGTCCTTCCCCACGGTGGCTCCACCCGGCAGAATGCCAGTCCATGACCCGTCCTTTCTCACCCACTGTGGGGCTTTTCTCCTCTTCTTCTGCGTCTCTTTAAATAAAAATATTTGGGCTAAGAATTTGTAGAAAGAGTAAAACTCTTTCAAACTGCCTTCCAGATCCCCTCTCACGTCTCGTGACTTACTAGAAAGGTCTAGGGTAACAGATGGACTCCTCTGTGTAACCTGAGAGAAGCCTCCCCTTCTCAGCCTGTTGTCTGATTGGGTGAGCTGAAACCTTCAGAAACGTGCTTGGCTCCTTCGGTAAATTTGGAGCAACATGAGACGTTCACGTATTGATGAGATTTCATTTCTGGGTTTTGTTTGCTTTTAGCAGTGGGAGAATGGGAGCATTGGTACAAGTAATAGTAATTAATTGATTTTGAAAACGTTTAATTTTAGATAGATGAAACAGGGCACTGCATTGAGTCTGGTGTAGACACAAAGATCCCAGAGCTACACAGGCCTGGTCCTCCTCACCCCCCCTCACTCCCCAATCCCCACCTCCACCCCCGTTCTCCCAGGCCCACATTTTCTATGGGATCTACTTAGAGAAAATTTGATTCAAACTTTTCTTGACACAGAGAAACACGGAGGTGCAGTTGCAGGTATGTACATTTATAAATGCTTTCATTTGAAGCATTTGGCTGTATCAGTATGGCAGCAAGGGCACCCACCCGAGGCGCCCAGGAGCTGCAGCATCTATAAAGATGAGAGCGTTGGCGTAGTGCTGTGGTCAGACCATCCACCACTAACGATCAGGTCTCCCAGAGAAAATCACCATTTGAGAGACAAGAGACATGGCTGAGCAATATTATGTAGGAAAGTGTGTTTGGTTCAGGAATTAAGACCTGACAGCTCAAGCGTGGAGTTCAGTGACTGCCTTTTAGCTCCGGGTGCCCAGTGAGGTTCCTCAGCGGGGGAAAACAAATATAATAGGCCTCCTCTGTCTCTTTGTCTTTGTTTCTGTCTGTCTGTCTGTCTCTCTCTCTGTATGCAAGAAAGAGAGATTATTTACTGAGTATCTCATGCTATGCTGGCCTCTTACTTTTCGTACAAGCTTGACTCCTATTCTTTGCTAAGCATTCATCAAATTGTGTTATTAACGCTTACAAGTACCGTAGTGAGAGTGTGCTGCTCCTGCTGCTGATCTTATTCCATTGTACAGATAGAAAAATAGAGGCCAGAGAGACTAAACAACCTACTGAACTAATTAACAGAGTTCTGTGGCTTATGTGCTGTTCTAAGCAAAGCTCTGACCTTGAGAAGGGGGAAGCACTTCAGCTGGATTGGAAGTAACAGGGCAGGGTAGTCCATTGTTGTTTGCACAGCTTAGGTCTCTGGAGAACACAGGCATTTGCAAAGATGACTGTCTGGTTGACCCAGCCCCCATGTTTGTGTTAGTTTATATTCTCTTGATCCACCTGTAAGGCTATAGCTTTAAGGAAACTCAGAACTGACTCATTTCATTTTGAGCCAGAGATGAGTCTCCGCACTATGCATAGTTTGAAGAGAACTTTAGGGTTCCAACCTTGAAGTAGTGGTAAGCTGTTCCTGGCACACTATGCTCTTTCAGGAGTTGCTAGCCCCTGATTATTGAGGATAGGCAAGTAAATGTAGAGTGGTTACGGTATAGCAACACTCCTTCAGGGCAGAGCGGAGGGGCCAGCATCCGGTACAGCTGCCGAAGAACTGGCATATAAAATCCACAGGGGCACTCCAAACAAGGTTTTAAAAATAGAAGAAAGGCCTTTTCTTGTATGGAATTTGACACATATCAAAAAGCTCCTCTCAGATAATTGGGCCCTCCAATGAATTCTCTACTGGATTTAGGGTGTCAGTTGTCCTAGCCAAACAAGGGGAACACAGTAATCCCAGGTAGCACTTACTTGGGGATATATGTTCTACTCGTTCCAGAAACATTAGTTTAAAAGTATCTAGATATAATCCAGCTTATTTGATCAACGTATTTGGTAACCGGCGGGGCGGGAAGGTGGGGGAACACAAAAAACCAGAACACTCCTAAAGCCTGGGGAAAGACATTTCAGCTTGTATTAATACCTCCTTAGAAAGAATATGGCAAGAGAGGAATAGTTAGCATAGAGCAGTGGTTTAATTAGCCACAAACCTGCTGAAGATGTCTAAAGTCTACTGACCGGAAGACAGACCAAGGATGGAGAAAGCAATTTGGTCATTTAACCTTTCAGGCTTGTTTCAGTCTACAGCAAAGGGAACCCTCCTGTCTGTAGAGACAAAGGAAAATAAATATAACATAGTAAGTTAGTTCCTCACCTCCGAATCATGTCCTTCCTACTGCATGTTAAAATTTCCCATCTTTAATAAACAATGATAGTAAAAATTTTTGTCTCTGCTGAACACATTTAGATACTTACCAGGAATCACAGCCTTTGTTCTAATCAAGGGGTGCTCGGTTTGCCTGCTCATTGGAATCACTTGCAGAGATGTTTAAAACACTGTGTCTGCACCTCAGCTAAGGCTCAGACGTGTTTGCTTTTCGTGTGGCCTTAGCACTGAATCACCCGATGATTGCAATGTGCAGCCAAGGCTGAACGCTACTGCCCTCATTCACTCCCTGCATAACTTGCCTCTGATTGTTAACCAGGTTTCTCAGTGCTGGAGTGCACAGAAGACGGTCCTAATCCTGGTTGCTAGGGAGGAATATTGTCATGATAAATTAATGAACAGGCACTTGAAATCTATAGCTCTAACCTCCTAACTTTCCTTCAGCACTGTGTGCATGGATTCCTGTAACTGTCCCCATGAGTAGGATGAGATGGATCTACCCCCAGTTACTATCTGCGTATCAGTAGTGATGGATCCTGGTCATGGAAGGCAGCTCCCCTTGGGACCCACACCCACCTCACCTCTTCCCTGTGCAGCTTCCTTTCAAACCTGAATGTCAACCACCCACAGGCTGCATAGTAGTGTGTGATCCGCCCTCTGAGGATGATATAATGGAACCTGGCAGTCATTATGCTGACAGCCTTCTTTTGAAATTTCATCTTAAATGGCCTGACTGACAGTGATGACACTGTCTTCCTTACAGTCTCTCTGAGAATTTGAGTCATTAATGTCAGCAAGTTTTCACCAAGAATCCTACTGAAACCTTCGCTTCTTTTCATCTTAACATTTGGTGACATTAAGAGAATGGAAGCAGGCCTAGCCCTCGCCCCTGTGACCCTTTTCAGGTGCTGGATAATGATATGGTTTTTCAGAGTGACTAGAGAACTAGAGAGGAAGGAACACAATTGTAGGCCATTTTTGCTTCCAATACAAGCATCCACATCTCTTTTCTTGCTAATTCAGCTGCATTGTTTTGATGATGATGATGATGATGATGATGACAATCACCATTTGGAGGGAGAGAGAGAGAAAGAGAGAGGAGAGAGAGAGAGAGAGAGAGAGAGAGAGAGAGAGAGAGAGAGAGAGAGAGAGAAGAAGAAAGAAAGAAGGGAAGACAAGAAAACAAGGATAAAATCCTCACCACATTTGCTCCCCCATCTCACAGCCCCACCCAGAGTATAAGGCACAGGGTAGCCTGGGTTGTAGCAGAAAAGATATTGGGTTCCTCATTAAACTGAGAATTTTCTCCGACATCCATTTTGTACATTTATGAACACGGTCCACACTGGTGATGCTCACATAATTTCTAAGCAGAAAAACTGTGTTCACTTGCATGAAATAGCAATGAAGAGTGAGCTGCTAGGCTGCAAGGGTGGCAGTGAAGGATCTCTCTCCCAACCTCATGCTGTACACTCCCTGGAGCACCCCATTCCAGCTTTGGGAAGCACACTATGGATGTTAATTCTCTCTGGGCCTAAAACGTGTCCTCCTGGTTATTGCCCTGTTTCTTTCCTGTCCTCACCGGTTATCTATAGAGGCATATCACACTACTGAGGTACCCTGTACAGATGGCTGTTCCAATTATTAATTTGTTGATTAATGCAAAGTTCTACATTTTATCTAATTTGTCATGGGTAGTATTGATTTCTATTTTCTTCCATGAGGCTCATAATGGTCCAGAACCTCTCTAAGAGAAATTCAACAAGGGTCTGAGAAGCGAGCTATTCTAAGACAGGAGGCCTTTGCAAATCTGTCCTATTTTTCTCATCTTTAAAGCAAACCTTAGCAAGTTTGATTGACATTCCTTGACTAATTCAAGTTGCTGGTGATCTTCAAGTCGCATTGTAATTCTCTAATGACTGTAAGGGGGAAAAACACTTCATAGAAAGAATTGATTGATTTATTAGAGGGAAAATTACCACATGTGCCAGACCTTGATTGCAGCTAATATTTGTAGAGCTAATTGCCTGAACTAGAGGATTAAAAGGATTATGGGAAAGGAAGAAAAAGAAAGCAAAGTTCTCCTGGAATATTGATGACTACACCATGGGTTCAGGCTGGGAGGGAAAACTCAAGAGTAGGGGTTCTCAGGGCTACTGGTGTGGGGCATTGAGAAAGAGCCAGACATAGCACACCTGCCATGGAAAAGCAGTGGGGATGGGGGGAAGGTGCCTCCCTATGTTCTGCCAAAGAAGATCCCATGGCACCATCAGATTTGCCTTGGTTTCTTGTTGGCATGTCATACCAAGGCTATGTTGGCATTTAAAACCATAAGCCAAGATTGGAGATGCTTAGCATGAGTACAGTTGTGTAGAGAGCTCAAGGCCCTGGGTGAGATCCTTAGCCCTGCAAACAAAACGGAACACTGACAACACAAGCAACTCCTTAACCCAGAGGGTCTGGGGAAATGTCTGAGTGAGCTCTTACACGGAGGTGGGAACAGTTCCTTAATCTAAAGAGCTACTGTGGTTTGAGATGCTTCCGTCAGTAATAGTAAACCAGATTTCTAGTACGAGGAAATAGGTAACAAGCTTCTGTCTTATTTAGGGTTGCTATTGCTAAGAAAAGACACCATGACCAAAGCAACTCTTATACGAGAAAGCATTTAATTGGGACTGGCTTGCAGTTTCAGAAGTTTAGTCTAGTGTCATCATGGCAGGGATCACGGCAGCATGAAGGCAGACATGGTGCTGGAGAAGTGGCTGTGAATCTGGATCCACAGGCAGAAGGAAGAGAAAGTCACTGGGCCTGGCTTTGGCTTTTGAAACCTCAAAGCCCACCTCCCCTGTCACACTTCCTTCAATGAAGCCATACCTCCAGATTCTTCTTCTCAAGTAATGTCACTCCCTGATGAATAAGCATTCAAATATATGAGCCTATGGGGCCATCCTTATTCAAACCATCATACTTCCTCTATGATAATAAAACCTGGGGTAGTTGTACCAAAACTCCCCCTCAGTTTTATTCTGTCATTGCTAACTATTAAATAATGATAATTTCCTAAATGACTT